CTTCACATGCATATTTAGCCATCCATGTTAATAAATATCGACAGAAGGCGAAGAAGAAGCAGCAGGAGCAGGAGCATGAAAAACATGGGAACAACCAGCCAGTCCACTTAACTTTTATATAAGCTTTTATCGTTTCAGACCAACACGCATTTCATATCCAAATCCTTCATCCATCCCTAATGCGCATCCGGAGCACCGGCTGCTCCCTGTGATGATGCTTCGTCACCACCAGCAGCGTCGTCATCATCATCCGGACCACGGCGACGTTCGCGCTCTTCCACAACTGCTTCCGTTTCGTCTTCCTCCGTATTCCAACTGTAATCATCAGCATCCGCGTCCTCATCATCTGTCCCATTGTCCTCCTGCTCCTCACCAGTATCGTTCCAAAATCGAGCGGCTCTGAGAATTCCCGGTGTCAATAGGTCGCGTATCGCATTTAGGGCTGCATCCAAACTGAACTGATCCGCCGCCTGCAACAACAAATGAATTACGCACACGCATTCACGTATCAAAAACGGAAAAACTGTCACAATTCGCATAGCTGGAGATTCAGTTACGAACAGCAGCAATAGCTGATCACGGTGTATAATGAGATGCACCAAAATCCGGAAATAGCCTGAGCTGCATATCTTCGCCTAATATTTGCCGCCTATTCGATGAGAACGCACCGACTTTTCGGAGGCTTTCCAAGTGGTCGTTTATTTCCCCTCAAGTACCACTCACTCATTTACATACAATGATGTCTACCACTTACCAACAAGGTGCATCGGCTATGGGGCTTTTATGCGTTTGTGCTGTGTTACAGCAATACAAAAATATATTGTCATGCGATTGTCCGTGACTCTGTGTGTGTGTGTGTGCCCACAGCAACTTGTCCGCAACTTTCAACTTGGGAGCCACAAAAGCTAGGAAGCCGAAAATTTAAAGGAATGTTCCCCACTCACTTGTGACCCCGCAAATTTAAATTTAGCCTCCCCTGTACGTGCGTAACATGTACGGCTCCGTAAAAGTTTTGGCAGGGAAAATTATCTCAGGAATCACGGGAGTGAGGAAACTAAAATTTTATCGGTATGTCCGCTACCCACATGCGACGTCGAAAATTTAAGTTAAGCCTTTCCGTGCCTGCGGGCAACATATAACGCCTCGTGAGACTTTTGGCGGGTAAACTATTGACTCGGAAACCGCAGAATCTAGGAAGCGAAATTTTGAGAGACTGTTCCCTGCTCAAGTGCAACCCCTCAAATTTAAATTCGAAGCAGTGAAAATCATTAGCAGGCAATCCTTCGACGAATGAAATTGCACAAAAAGCATGACTGCACCGGCTGCCCTGGTGCACGCCGCTATTTATTTTTCTCGTACTGTTGTAATAACATCTTACATGCACCTCGCCTGACGGAGAGCCTAACGATCAGGTACTCCAAACCTCCACTGCTGCACTCCTGCTCAAAAAATATGAATGGCGTGGGCTTTCCAAATTCTGTGCCCTCTGAATCTAATGAGTTCAGTTTTAACGATTGGCACTCATAAGAGAGGAAACAAATTTATTTGATATCAGACGCCGAGAAATACTTGTTAGGCTCAAGCAGAATTACAAACGCTGTTCCAGGAATAGATATTTACTAATAATTGAAACATACTAGAACTATGGAAGACTGGAACCAACAGTATATAAGAAAATTAATAATTTAGCTCAGATTAAGCTCAATGCCATAATTGGACTTTGTTTGTACAACGGTTGTGGTATAAATTAACTAATAAAGGAAAATAGATATATATATATATATACATGTACATACATATGCATAATATATAATAAGTGCGTAATTATATATGTCTTATAATATACAAATGCGCATATATATACATAT